CCGACATCTATAATTATCAATGGACTCAATTCAAGAGGTTGCCCAAAGTAGAGTTTTGGACTCAGATCACCAGTCTTCTAAACTTCAATCCAAGTCGACAAAAAGATCCTTACATCATCCATCCTTGTTGGAGAATCGCCCACCGAATTCTCTTTCAACCTCCATCTTTGGTCGTCACGAGCCGGGACAAATAAACACAATCGAGCTATATTTCCTCTATTGCATGACTAGCCGTCGTTGGTCTTGCCCTGGTTTCGCAACCTTTTTCTTGGATAAATGTGACAGCATACGCACAAAGACCAATGGCAACATTTGCACTGGAGGTCTCATTACCCTAATTGGTTTGGGTATAGGCCTTCAATTTCCTGATTCTGAGTATGTGCCAGTAGATGACCCACCTCTCTACCTCCTCGACTGCTTCGCTCTCACCCGGATGGAATTATTGGTACCTTTCAACAATCGTCAGTACTCTTGGTTTAATCATGTCAAGGAATCAGTTTACATCTTACCTAATATCATCATATCCTCCTTTACCCCAGCGACCCCGAAACTTGGTTCTTGCCTGAAGAGTTACATGATGATGATGCAGGATATGAAGATGACATGCAGGTAGACAATGGCCATGTTGATAGCCCATTTGAGGCTGAAGACCATTATGACCTCCCAATTCGACAACTTCTGCCACCCTCTTATGCTCAACCTTCGGGAACACACTTCAAGCCACAACATGAGTACTAGTCCTATCAACAACACAACGAGCCCGAGCTTCCTCTTAATATATACAGTCAGCTTGTTGCCTTACACCTCCAGGGCAACCGAAATACAGTAGCCATTTGGCGCATCGAGGAGCAGGAAGCTCGCACCAACAACTACATGGAGGATCTTTGGCATCATTTTCAGCCCGAAGGCGGTTACCGTCCTCGTGGGACTCCTCCACCTGGATCCCGGTACGATCCTTCCCTACTCTCATCCTAAGCATTGAGGATAATGCTTAATTTTAAGCTTGGGGTGAGGTATTCTTATATTTTAATTTTTATTGCATTTAGGTTGTATATAGTTGCATTTAGAGTAAGTCATTTAGGACAATAATAAAAATTACATTAAAAAAATAAATAAATAAATCCAAAAATTATTGCATATTTTATTTCTTTCTTTTCTAATTTTCATACTTTTTAGATGTATTCTAGTTTAAGGTCATGCATTTTTGTTCTCTCTTGTCCTATCATCCCTACATATACCATAGCGTCGAGTCATAAGTATTGAATCATAGATTGGTCTCGGGTCTTGATATGGAATTCCTTGTATTGAATAAATGAGACACGTTTTGATCCTCATAGACCACTTTGAGACCGCTTGTGTGGGGGTCAGATGCAGGTAGCTTGATTGAGTCTAGGTGTAGAGGGATGTGGTTGGTCAAACTGATGTATGCGAGCAAAGATTAGCCCGGTAAGGTATTTTGAAGATAGTGCAGACTCGCATCTTGGTTTTGGGGGGAATACCCATTAGTACTCCCGAGTCTCGTCTGAGCGTTGCTTAGTTAGATTCTCACCACGTTTATAGGATAGGTCATCATTTTTCTAGGGGTCTAGAGTAGATAGTTAGATAGATTTTGTTTATCACATCTTGCATTAAGGTGCTTGATGAACTTTGAAGTGGGTCCCCTAATTCACATCTTTTGGGACCAAGTTTTTTTCCGTAACACCCATTTTTGAATCATTCCCCATCCTTTTTAGTAGATCTTGACACATTGTTAATGATCATTAGGAGTTCATGTTAGCCTCTATCTATTACTCCATTTTCACTATTGGAGTCCTATGTTACATGGTGAAATTTCTTAGACCTTCCAAGAAGAAAACACAAAAAAAATGAAGAAATTGGAAAGTGAAGACAAAAAGAAACAATGAAGAAGATTAAAGAAAAGCAACAAAAACAAAGAAGAAAAATGAGGAAAAAGAGCAACACAAAGAGAAGAACAAGAATCTAAGTTTAAGACTTTCTCCAAAAAAAAAAAAAGATCAAGCTACAAAGTGTCTGAAATCCAAATAACAAAACTTCAAGATTGAAGATTTAAGTTGTTAGATCTAGATTTAAGTTAAGTAGAATTTTTATTATTTTATTTTATTTTTTATTTTTGGTGAGAAATGGCTATGACGATGAGACAGGAGATTGTAAAGCCATATTTCGTAATATACACTTTAGCCTGACAAATGTTGGAATCATTGTTTGTGAAGAGGCGCCTTTCCTTCATGCATTATGGTCTACATTGGTGATTTAAAGTGCCCCCACTGGACGCATCCTCTGTTTCCTTTGTCTTGCACACCGCGACTACATTAGGATGTGATCTACTTGTTGGATTAGTGTCTAAGTCCATAACTATTTTGGTATGTACTTGACCCGATGGTGCATGGTCCTTTTGGGTTGCCTTCACCAAAGCAACTTGATTGGAGAAATGAATAAAGAGAGAGAGGATAATATGATTTATTAATATGTTATAAGAATAATATATTAAAGGAGAAATCATATTTGTTTAATTAATATTGGTCAATAATTAATTAAGAATTAGTTTTGTGATCAAATGTAATTAATTAAACTAGAGGGGCTGATTTGTAATTATGTGATAGTTACAAAATAAGGTAAGGATTATCTTATTTATATGGTGGACGAATTTAAGGATGGAAAGCCTTAGAATTCGAGTATGATAAGGATTCAAGGATTATCTTATTGGTTGCTTAATGGATAATCAACTAGATAAGGATAATGACTGAAACCCTATCTCTACACCTATATAAACACCCCTAGGGTCATGAATTCGTGTATCCCTTCCCAAGAGGTCCTAGATACGAATTCTAACCTCTCACCTCTCTCTTTATACCTTCTCCATTTGCTTATGGTGTTTGTAAGCCATTAGAGGAGTGACACTTGTGACTCTAAGCTTCCAAAGTCAATCAAGGAATTGGGATTGTTATTGCTACATAACAATCAAGGTATGTTCTTAAACCTAATTATATGTTAATGATTTCCATATGCTAGAATTAGGGTTTATAGTCTTGGATTCAAAGCATGTACAATAGAGAAACCTAGATCCAAGCATTAGGGTTTGTATGAGCACATAGGATGTCTTATGACCAAAACCCATCAGTGGTATCAGAGCCTAGCTTGGTTTCAATTGTATTGATGCATTGTATAACTGGAAAATCGTTTTTTGGGCTTTATGGCTGAGGAACTCGGCGAGTACCACAGTGTACTCGGCGAGTAGACCTCAACTCGGCGAGTACAGTGTGGTACTCGGCGAGTTCGAGCGTCAGATAATGCTTATCTCGGGATTTCTTGCTGTTTTTGCATTGGATAGTTACCTTATCATGTTAGATCAATATAAATCCGATTTTATGATATATATGACTATATTCTTGATCTAATTAAAGATAATTATCAATTAACAAGATAATTGTTTCCTTATAAGATAATTGATTAATTATTTTGAGTAAATTGATAAATTGTTTTGCAAGAAATCATTAAACAAATCAAATATGGATAATTATGTTAAATGTTATTTAATTATTTGTTATTTGATCCTTGTTGTTATGAAAAGTTTCATATTTTCCCCTTTAGGTTTTATAGTTTAAATTTGAACCCAAAAGTTTTGGAGTTTTGAAATTTAAATAGTTAAAACCCTAATGTTTTGAAAAAGGTTTCAAAACTTGCCCTCAAGTTTTGGAATTTAAAAGTTGATTAAAAGGTTTAATTAGAAATGTTAAATTCTAAAACCCTAGTAATGTTTTGAAAAGTTCAAATCACACCCTTATGGTTTTATTAATTAATTAAGGAGTATAATTAAAAGAGGTTTAATAAATCCATAAAAGTTTAGGTTAACCTTTTAATTGAATTAAAAGTGTAATTGTTAAAGTTAACCATATAGTATTTTAAAAGTATAAAATACACCCTATACTATATATAACATTAAAAGTCTAACATTATATATATGTATGAGTAAAAGTCAGTCTTACCGTTAGTAGGCCTCATTCACGAAGCTGGTCTATAAGGGGTGTTTAAGGAAATTGCCTATAAAATGGCGATTGAATGGGTATCCACTCTTACCCACCGCACTCTTGACTAGTGGAGGGTCGTTAGCCGAACGGGTAGGATAGGACGAAACCTTCCATTATAAGTATAATGAAATACAAAGTAACTAAATGTTTTTCAAATTCCCAATCTTAGTTACTTAGGCAAAAGTGAATTGATGCAATTCCATGAAATTACACTTTGTGCCCTTGCGAAGACGTTAGTGGAGCGTGTGTGGTTTACCGGCACACTAAATGGTTCTAAGCAAAGGTAGCAAAGGGTGACTCAATGTTTGTCATAGTTCGGTGGAGCGTGTGTGGTTTACCGGCACATCGAATAGGTGATTGTAACATGTGAGGGCACCATGTAGTTTGCATGGTTATTCACACCCGCTTTGTGATCCTCGGCATCCCAGTCACAAACAAGAGGGGCATATCGAGATTTAAACATGCCATTGAAATGTTCAATGAATCTCAAAGGATCTAGGAGTTTTCATAGATTTAAAACTTAAATTTCTTTTTCGTTTTTCATGGTGGAAATTAGTGAATCGTCATTCACTTACCTTCAAATGTTCTGCAATTTGGGTTACGGCATCCCTCTCCCGAGTTGTAGGATATTGTGTTGGGTCCTAGCCTTGGAATTTCATTTGGGTGATTTACCAAGGACTCAATCAATCAACTAACTTGAATTCGTTTTTCTCCCGATGTCAAAGTTCGACAACTATGGTCTTCTCAAATCCCGTGGAACAAGCATTCCACATGAAGATGATATTCCACGATTCGATCGAGGAACAAGAAATCATGCTTCACTTCCTCCTCCTCCTCCAATTATTCTCCCTAACCCACAAGATTGTAAAATTGAAAGGTTCAATATCACTCAAGCCCTTTTGGCAAGTAAACATAAAGAGGGCAAGTCGGTGTGTGCACACGTCTTAGGGATGAAGTCACACATTGATAGATTAAGAATGATGGGATCCGTTGTCGGTGAAGATGGCTGTTGATTGGGTTCTTCAGTCACTTCCTAACTCGTATAGTGAGTTCGTAAGAGAGTACTATATGATGAACCACGACGTGACCTTATAGATCTCACCTACATGCTTATTGCTGCTGAATCAACAATGGTTTGGCGCAATAGAAAAGCAAAGTTGATTGGTGAATCTGCCTTCAAGACCTCTATGGATATAGACAATGGCAATGAAAGACATGCAATGATCGAAAAGTTTGATCATAAGAGAAAGGCGATGTCTGAAGTAGTTCCATGTGTTGTTCCAAAGGAGTCAATTTGCTTTTATTGCCAAGAGAAGGGGCATTGGAGACGAAGTTGCCCTATTTACCTAAGAGATCTAAGAGATGGGAGAGTCAAAAGTATGACTACGCTTTAGGTAAGAATCCACTATCTAACTCCATTAAGTTCCTATTCATTGATTCTTAATACATGATGTGATAAGATTGCATTTGAATGTTTTGAAGGATCGGTGAAAAGAAAGGAAGCTTGATAAGAGAGCAAGATGAATCTAATCACAAGAGATGGATCTCGATCTCATGGACTTGAAGATTGGATTTTGAGCTTAGATAGTTATGATAGAGTTGTTAGAAATTTTCTTTTTACATAGTTTTCAATAGATTTTGCATTGTAAGGACAAATGTTTTTCCGCTGCTTTTATAAATAAAATAAATTTTGTTTGACTTATTTATTTATTTGTTTACTTCCTTGCAATGAAATCGTTATGAAAATTGATGTTTGCATATTTCTACAACGAATGGATATGATTCTTAGTTATGTTATTTATGGAAATGTCAAGAATTTACCAAATAGGGAGAGTTTCTCATCGCCCAAGTTTCAATTGGACAGAAACTTGGAATCATGCAACGTGGATGCACGATGAATGAGAAATTTCGTATTTGGAAATTGGACTA